ATGAAGATCAGGGGACCTAGAATGTTGTAAGAGCTTATTAAACATTCAATGTAATTGAACACTTAATTTAGGCATAAGGGTACCCAGCAAGTTACAACTCTTTCTTCACTAAGATACTGGCTGGAATTGGCCTGGGGGCTTCTCTTCTCATCCAGGTGCTCAGTCCAGCATCATCATTGCCCTATGGTCTATAATCCCCATCTCATTTCCACAAATGTTCCATTCTGGTCTGGCCGTTCCCTGGGGTCAAAGAGAAGCTCTTTCTGTAGAGCATTCTCAATCTTTCTTTCTGTAACTGCTCCAAGGTTAGTTTTTAAAACAAGGAGACATTCTGTGCCACCTACTCACAGCTCAGCAAGTGCTTTTCCGATACTGCTGCTATTTCTAATCCTTGGGCAAGCCACTTATTAAAATTTAATGACAATCCTTTACATTTATAAAGCCATTTTCCGTTTACAAAGCTCCTTTCCATCCATTATCTCTTTTAATTCTCACAACATCTGTAGGTAGAAAGTATGTTTTTCTCCATTTTACAAAGGAAGAAAATAAGGCTCTGAGGATTAGCATCATCGTCCAGTGGCAGAGATGGACCTCAAATTCTGGTCTTTTATTCCACTATGTCAGGAGTAGCCTGACAGGCATTCTTTCACAATATAAACAATCTATTATACCGGCCCTGCTCTCTTTTGGGAGATGTAGTTGAGTAATGTAGGATGATTTTGATTGGAAGTGACAAAACCACATCTCAAACTGGCTTAAGCAAAACTTGAATGTATTGGCTCACCAAATAGAACAATCCAGAAGCAGGTCTTCAGGCATGGATGGATCCAGGTGTTCAAACTATGTCATCAGAACTCTCTCTCTCTCCATATCTTACCTTCCTATGTGTTCACTTTATTCTTAGACAAAGTATCTCCTTAGGGTGTCAAAGATGGCTCCCATTAGCTGAAATTTACCATTCACTCAGCTCAACAAACTCAACAGAAAGACAATACCTCTCTCTTGCAAACTGCAGGATATCAATCTTAAGTAGATATCAATCTAGATATCTCAAACTAGATATCAGTTTCAACTATTTGGGTTGGCTTATGGGCCTACCCCTGAACCAGTCATTTTGATTAGAACAATGGAGTATTCTCATTGCCCAGGCCTGATCATTTGCCCTCTCTAGAGAAGAGGAAAATGGTGGTGGTGGGTTGAATCTCACCAAACACAGGGACTGAGTGAGGGGGAATGGAGTAAAATGTCAGAGGTGGTATGGGTGGCGGGCAGATGTCTACAGGGTGGCTTGCTCTGCAGAGCTAGAATAGAGCAACCAACGAGGAACTAAAGGCCCAACTTTGTAAGAATCCCAGTTCTTCCCTTAAGAGAGAGTGGTAAGTGGACTTTTGTGCTTTTTTTTCCCCTGGACTGCCTGATTTGGCAGAGCAGGATAGAAAAAAAAAGGGGGGGGGTGATAATTCATAGCAGAGTAAGGAGAAAAGATGGAGCTTCTGGCTCCAGTAACTCATGTTCTGAACAGTATCCAAACTAGGAGCATCCACAGAAGGAAACTTTGAGGATGACCCCTTCCCTGATCCTCCTCCCAGTACCTTCCATCTCCCCATTAAGTTGTGAGCTCTAGAAGGGGAGGGGCCACATCTGTTTTACCCACCATCTCATCCCAGGGCTAGCATAATGCTGTGCCGGCACATTACAGGAGACCTTCCCTTATTTATTGCATGGATGCATAAATGAATTAGGTTGATCAGTCTAATTGGCAGGATCAATCCACCTCTTTGTTCAAGGCAGTCTCCTCTTTGGCCTCTGTTCTTCAATGGCCAAGGTGGGGGAAGGTGAGGAATGAAACTCTCTCCATAGACCCTTGATTCCAAGATCTTCGGATTCTCAGGAAACAGCCAGATGCCCTCTGCAAGGAGCCGATGAAAGGGGAAACCAAGTTTATTGAGCACTCTGTGCTCACATGATATGACTTCACATATTGGGTCTGAGTTGCCCAAATTGTGGAGCCCATTTATGAGCCTCATAATTTTGTTTTAAAATTTGAGATGGAGAGATGGCAGCACAGTAGGAGGAACCTAGGCTTGGCTTGTCCTTTGAACACAACTAGATAACTGTCAAATCATTCTGAAAACCCAGGAAATCAACCCGAGGACTGATAGAACAAATTCCACAACTAGAGGGAAAGAAGAAACCACATCAAGGAAGGGAATTTATAGGGAAATATGTACTTTATGGAATAAATTTAAAGAACTAAGATACGTTTTGTTTTAAATCAAAATGGACTTTTAGGGCATCCCCGGTGGCGCAGCGGTTTAGCGCCGCCTGCAGCCCGGGGCGTGATCCTGGACACCTGGGATCGAGTTCCACTTCAGGCTCTCTGTATGGTGCCTGCTTCTCCCTCTGCCTGTGTCTCTGCCTCTCTCTCTCTCTCTCTCTCTCTCTCTCTCTCGGTCTATATGAATAAATAAATAAAATCTTTAAAAAAATGGACATTTAATCTTATACAGCTAAATTACTGATTATATATTTGCTGAGCTGACTTAAGAGTTTGGAAAATTGTATCAAGAATTTTATTTTTTTTTTACTTCAAAGCCTTCTTAATAAAGTCATTTTGCTAAGAAATAAAATAAATTTTGGGATAGAAATAACACTGCTTATTTTTTATTTTGCCAAAATGAGGACATTAAAAAAAAAACTATCATCAAACAAACTTAACTAAAGAAAAAATTAACTATCATCAACACTTGTTTAAAAAAGGAAGTTCTACACTAAGAAAGCAGGAAGTAGACAATCTCAGGGAAAAAAGAAAAAAAGAACAGTGTCCCTCCCTCTGGAAAAGACATTTGGCAACCTTACATGATTATTATTATTATTTTTTTCTGAAGATAGATGCAAATTTCATCAGATTGACCCTGGGTAGGGTTCAGTATTTGGAACGCACTGACAGAGATTGTTTTTCAAACCTGCCCCTTACCTCCACGTGCCTGTGAAGTGGGGCTTAATCTGCCCACTTTATAGATGGGGAAACAAAGGTTCAGAGAGCCTAAGTGCAAGGTCACAGAGGTAGTAAATAATTGTCAGAGTTTGTCTGGATGCCAACCCTGATCATCTTGGCAGATCCTAAGCCAAAAGTTATTCCCCTTCAGGGAAAGAAATGACCCACACTGGCTCCTTTGCCCCCAGGGTGTTCTTGGGCTTGACCTTGAGCCCGGGCTTGGACGCCCTGTTCTTTAGAGCACATCTTAATGATGTGCTCACTTCATGCCAGGCCCTCGGAAGAGTGTAGGGAGGGAAACCAGCACGTTCCCAGCCTCCTTCCCTCCTGTCCCGGATACTCACCCTGGGTCTCGAGGTCCAGGCCCAACTCCTTACGCCGGGGGCCAACGAATCCCTATCGCGGGCGTGGGATGCTAACAGTTTAGGGGGTTCCCTCTCCAAGGGGTGTTGGCAGTTTCCAAGGAGACTCTGGGAACCTTCACCGCCTCCAGTCCCTAAAGGGCTGGAAGCGTAATGGTGCAACCCGAGGCACTGTTTAGGCTGTAGGGAAGGCAACTTGGGAGTAGGAGATCAGCTCGAGCCCTATCAGATAATACTCGGTTCGGCCCCTCCCCCATTCCCACGGGCTCTGCGGGGGCCCACAAGCCCCTCAGCTCCGGCTGGAAGAAGGGGGTGCCCCAAGGCAGAGGGCCGACCGCGTGGGGGACCCCTGGGACCGTGCCCAGCCCTCCCCGTGGTGCCGGAACCCGGGCCGCCCCTCCCCCGCCCGCCCGCCCGCACGCCCCGCCCGCCCGCACGCCCCGCCCGCCCGCACGCCCGCGCCGGGAGCGCGCCTCCGGAGAGCCGCGCGGGTGCCCGAGAGCGCGCGCCTCGGCGCGGGAGCGCGCCCCGGGGAGAACCCGAGCAAGATGGAGGCCGCGCCGAGGCCGCCTCCTGGGCCGCGGCAGCAGCTGCTGCGAGCGCCGAGCCGGGGCGCCTAGGCCGTGCCAGTCCCGGACCCGCGGCCCCGGACCGCGCGCAGGTTGGTCTCCCCGCACCCCGACCCCGCGGCCGCAGCCTGCGCGCGGGGCAGCCGCCCCCACCCCCACCCCCACCCCCGGCCCTGCGCCGGCCCGGCCGCTGCCGGCGCTGGCGGGAGAGCCCCTGCCCGCCCGCCCGCCCCCCGAGGCCCGCGCTGCCTGCCGGCCCCAGCCCTCGTACCCTTGGCCTGGAAACCCTCTCTCCTCAGCCCTGGCCCGCCAGTCCGGGGCTCCCTGCACCCACATCCAGTCCTGCCTTCTGGGGGACCCCTAGACCCCCACCCCGCGTTCAGACCCTGCAGTCCTAGCCTCACCCCGATTCCCCCACCTCGCCCTCCCCGTCCCAGCCCCCATATCACCTTCCCGGTCCCCCAGTGCCAGACCCTCGTATCCCCTTCCTGTCCCTCATAGAAGCACCAGCCCCCTCCACAGCGCCTTTCTGGACACCCAACACCAAACCTCCTTTTACCCCCGGTACCAGCCCCAAATTCCCTTGCAGGCTCCCTCTGCAGCCCCTCTGCCAACCCCGATACCGGTCCTCAGCCTCCATCCATTCCAGCTCCCCACGGTTCCTTCCTACTCTCCCAGCCCCGGCCCCCAAGCCCCCTCCCCATCACCTCCGTGACTACTTTGTAGCCAGCCCCCACTGCCAGCTCCCAGATCCCCATCCCATCCCCCTCACCCAGCCCCCCAACTTTCACAGGTCCTCTCCCGAAGCCCCCCCCGAGGTGCTTGCTGCCCCCGGCCCCACCGCCCCAGCACTCAGGACGCCCCCTGCCTCCCCCGTCCTGCCCTCGCGTCCCCCCAGCGCCGCCCCAGGCCCCAGGCCCCAGGCCCCAGGCCCCAGGCCCCAGGCCCCAGGCCCCGCCCTCGAGAGTTCTTGGCTCAGGGCCGCCTCTCGCGTGCGTCCCCAGCTCCCGCCCGTCAGCCTCGCAGCCCGGCGGTCGGTCGGTCCCGGGCCGGCGGCCCCCGCCAGCCGCCGCCGCCGCCGCCGGCCCCGCCCCCGGGCACCATGCTGCCCTCGCAGGAGGCCTCCAAGCTCTACCACGAGCACTACATGCGGAACTCGCGGGCCATCGGCGTGCTATGGGCCATCTTCACCATCTGCTTCGCCATCATCAACGTGGTGGTCTTCATCCAGCCCTACTGGGTGGGCGACAGCGTGAGCACCCCCAAGCCTGGCTACTTCGGCCTCTTCCACTACTGTGTGGGCAGCGGGCTGGCGGGCCGCGAGCTCACCTGCCGAGGCTCGTTCACCGACTTCAGCACCATCCCGTCCGGCGCCTTCAAGGCAGCCGCCTTCTTCGTGCTGCTCTCCATGGTGCTGATCCTCGGCTGTATCACCTGCTTTGCGCTTTTCTTCTTCTGCAACACGGCCACGGTCTACAAGATCTGCGCCTGGATGCAGCTCTTGGCAGGTAGGGGAGGGGTGGGGGTGGGACCCCTAGAACAGGTGCCGAGGACGGGGCTCCTTCCTTCCAGGACCCCTTCGTGGAGGGGTCAGAGAGATTCTACTCCTCTGGCTAAAGACACACCTCCTTGGCTGACCCTCAGAAGCCACTAGGTAGGGGATTTATGAGAGAGACACCTTGGGGCAGGAGGCAGAACCGTAGGACTGGGTCTTTGAGTTTGCGTGCTTGGATATGGGCAGACTGCATTTACTGATGGGTTGGTGTTATGTTAGAGTCTATGAGGGTCTCTGAGAGTCTCTTCTGGCTGTCCTACAGGAAATTATTATCTGAATGAGGAGCTACTCTAGGAGTGAGCAATTTCTGTTGTATCAAAAAGAGCATGAGATGGGGGGAATCCAGAGATCTGACTTTGACCTTTATCTTGCTGACATTATCAACTTGGGTGTTTCACTTTACTTCCCTGAGGCTAGGCTTCCCCATCTGTAAAACAATGAAGAGGATTCCAAGAGCGAATGAAAGAGTATCTTGTAAACTTTTAAGTTCTGTATTAAGATAAAGGAGCTTACGAAGATATGCGTGTCTAGTAGTGTCTATCCAGTATTTGAAATGCGGGTGGTTGACAGCACTTGGCAACATGGGGGTCTTCACAGGGCAGGTCTCTACCCCCTACCCCCACCCAGTGCAGGGAGGGTTCTGGTGCTATGCCTAATGGTAATAAATCCCTGAGCCCTTTGAAATGTTTAGATAGGGCAGACATCTTGCCCTAAGAACTAGAGAAGGGCCTTTTGGGAAGAAGAACTGCTGAGACAGTATTCCAGGATCCATTAGAGTCCTCACCCCCCACCCATCTTTTGATCGAAGGCAGATTTTGAGGATTCAGCAACTTGGGAATTTGCCTAATTGCGGGTAGGAAAGAGAGTTGGGCTGGGGAAAGTGAGGTCAAGATATAGCAGGAATGGGGGAGGACGGCTGGTACGGTTAGGTAAAGTTGGGAGCGCTCTAGGGATGAGAAAGAGAAGGGAAAATATGATGATCTTTGCAGTAGAGATGGTCTTTCACAATAAGCACCTCAGGGCATTCAACAAGTGTGGGCCTCTTCAAAAGATACTCCCTGCAGGAGGTGTTATATCACTTGCTGATGACTCCACTGCTTAGAACATTGTAGTCTTTGGAATGTGGGGTGTGTTCTCTTGAACATCATCATTGAGGGGAACCTCCATCTTTTAAAGGAAGAATATGATTTTTGGAAATGACTGGAAGTCACTTAGGGCCAAGTGCAGAAAATACAATAGTGAACAAATTGAGAATTGTCACTTGGGATGAAGCCAAGGTATGAGAGCAAAATCATGAGGCTAGTTTGCTTCCCCAAGAGGACTTTTACAAATACAGGGAGGAACTCCTGCCCCATTGGAAGAATTTCCCAAACTTTCAAAAGGACTACTTTGAAGAAAGCAGTGTTAATTCAGATGAGGACATTTTAATGAGCTTGTTTCAAATCTGCCTCAGTCCATCTACTTAGATATGGTTCTTTTAGGATCTTTGAAATTGAGAAAGGAGAAATTGTAGAGTGTGGGGGTATGTCTCCATATTTCTCAGTGGTACCCAGAAGGTGACTTTACATATTTCCATTTTATTCTTCCTCCAAAGGCAAGCTGGAAAGAATGTATACTCATCTGGAATCCTCAATTCCTCACCCTTAATTTGGAGTCTGCATATGGGTTGCTGACCTCTTGGCCTTCCAACTCTCTGTAATTTATGTGGGTTTAGTCTTAGGGATTTGGTGAAGTGTCCCAATAACCCCATATAATTACAGAATTTCAGAGATCATAGAGATCAGCTCCTTCAAATCCCACCTTCCCCTCCCCCCACTTTAGAGATAAGAGACTTAGACTAGAGAGAAGGTTTTATCCAAAGTCTCATAGCCAGTAAGGGAGTACTCCTGGTCCAGTGCTCTTTCCCTTGTATTGTTTTCCCACACCTGAGGGCTGAGGAGGCCAGTTAACAGAGTTGAGCAGTTTATTCCATTCTGCTTAGAGATTTCTGAGTTCTCTGGGTAAGTGACCAATTCACTTTGTTTAATGAAGTGACATCAGGACAGAAGCTAGAGCACTGGACTACGAGTCATGGGACGGGGTCTTGGCCGACTCTGCCTAGGTGATTCACCCTGCAGTATTTTTTTTTTAAGATTTTGTTTATTTATTTATTTATTTATTCATTCATTCATTCATTCATTCATCCATCCATTCATTCATGAGAGACATACAGAGAGAGGCAGAGACATAGGCAGAAGGAGAAGCAGGCTCCTCGCCCCGGGAGCCCGATGCGGGACTCATCCCCAGACCAGGATCACTCCGAGCCAAAGGCAGACGCTCAACTGCTAAGCCACCCAGGCGTCCCTACCCTGCAGTATTAAGCAACAGTTTTTAGCTTAAATCTCAGTTTTGTCATCCTTACAGTGGGAGACTAATCAGTTACATAAGTGGATTCAAAGTATCTCTTTCAGCCCTGGGTGTCTCCTAAAACAACTCTATCACCAAGATCTTTCTATTTAGAAAATAAGAAATCAGTCATTCTCAGGGGAGCTGCAGAGCAGCAAAGGGCCTTGTTTATATTAGATAAGAATTAGAATTCTTGTTTAAGTAAACTTTTATTCAAGTATTTTAGACTCTTCTAAGTGTAGAGCCCTGGACAATTAGGAAAATTCAGAGATACTTATTCCTCTATTTATTCTTTACTTGTTCTGTGATCATCGCTGTGCTAGGTGCTATAATACTGAGATCATCCTGGTCCCCAAGGATTTAGGTTTATTTTATTTTTTTTTAAAGATTTTATTTATTTATTCATGATAGTTACACAGAGAGAGAGAGGCAGAGACACAGGCAGAAGGAGAAGCAGACTTCACGCACCGGGAGCCCGACGTGGGATTCGATCCCGGGTCTCCAGGATCGCGCCCTGGGCCAAAGGCAGGCGCCAAACCGCTGCGCCACCCAGGGATCCCGGATTTAGGTTTATACGCTGCGATCGATCCCCACTCTCAGGAAGCTTACCATCTGGTTGAATCTCTATAATGGTCAGCATTCTTTCAATGGCAAGTGAGAGAAATCCAACTTAAAATTGCCTAAATAAATAAAAATAAAATAAAATAGGGATGGTAGGATTTTGGGCTCACATAACTTAAAAGTCAAGAGTATCTTGCTTCAGGGGTGCATGGCTGGCTCAGTCAGTAGAGCATGGGACTCTTGATCTCAGGGTTGTGAATTCAAGCCCCATGTTGGGTATAGAGATTACTTAAAAATAAAAGCTTATAAAAAGAATATCTTGGGATGTCTGGGTGGGTCTCAGTGTTTGAGTGTCTGCCTTTGGCTCAGGGCATGATCCCAGGGTCCTGGGATTGAGTCCCACATTGGGCTCCTTGCAGGGAGCTTGTTTCTCACTCTGCCTATGTCTCTGCCTCTGTGTCTCTCATGAATAATTTTTTTAAAAAAGGGGGTGCTTGCTTCAGGCATGGATGGATCCAAATTCTCAAATAATGCCATTAAGAATATGTCTGTCTCCATTTCTTGGTTCCCCTGTGTCAGCTCATTTTAAAGTCCACTTCTCTCTTAAAGGTGATAAAAATGCTACTAGCAGCTCTGAATTTATGTTGCTTTAGCTTGTCAATGCCTGTGGAAAAAGAACATCTGTTAGTGGTTCCAGCAAAAGATCCAGGACTGATTCTCATTGACCCAGGCTTTAGCCAAGGATTCACCTCTTAGTTAATCAATGTGACTTTGTCCAAGGCTTTAGCCACATTCCCATCCCTGGAGCACCTGGACTGACAGTGGAAAAAGGTCAAGTTCTGAAAAGAGAAATCAGGTATGACCACTGGTAAGACAGGTGCAGACAGAAGCCTCACTCTGGAGGGTCTAGACACTAATATATGCTGGGCTATAAGTGCTGGGGAAACCCAGGGCAATTGAGGAGGCGGCCCCATAGTTGGGAGGTGAGGCTTGAGTGGGAGGTGAGGATGTGGACAGATTTGAAGTGTGGGAGAGCATTGTGAATGGAGAGGAAGATCATGGGCAGAGACACAGAGGTAAGAAAGCCACATCTGGCTTAAGTGTGACATCCATATAGGGGAGCAGAAGGAGGAGAGGTGAGGAAGGAATGATGGGGCTACAAGTGTGTAAGTCTTTGAATACTGGGTTGGGAATTTGGTCTTTAATCAGCAGGCAGTTCAGAGTTACTACAGCTGTTGTTATTATTCAGGAAAAATAATTAACATTTTCTGAGCCTTCTCTCTATGCTTGACCATGTGCTAAACATTGATGTGCATACTATTATTTACTCCTCACAATGATCCTATGGGGTACCTACCATTATTACTCTTTTGTAATAGAAAATTACTCTTTTTCATCTTTTCCTCAGATGAAAACACTGAGCTTCAAAGAGGAGTCATTTGTCCAAGGTCATACAGACAGTAAATGGGGGAACTAGCATGGTAACTTGATCTGTCTGACTCAAAAGCCTGGGGATTTATGAAGGATTTATAGAGGAGCATTAGTGATGGGAGCAGTGGCAGGAGGTTTTTGATATAAGACTCAAATGTTAAGTAGAGAGGTAGAAAACCCAGGTTTCTCTTCATGGAGTTAGGGGCCAGCTTCTCCAGGTATCTCTGCTACCTGGTCTTGCCCACTTAGTGAGAACACACAAGGTGTCAGCTTTGAGGCTAGACATTTTCATATTCTTTACAGCATTTCATGTTCATCTTGTTAAAGTAACTTGCCCAAGGGTCACACACCTAGTGAAAAGTGAAGCTGCAACTTAACACAAGTCTAAATGGATCTAGCACCTGCTTTTTCCCCCTTTAAAGATTATTTGTTTATTTATTTATTCATGAGAGACACACAGAGAGAGAGGCAGAGACACAGGCAGAGGGAGAAGTAATCTCCATGCAGGGAGCTCGACGTGGGACTTGATCCCGGGACCCTGGGATCACGCCCTGGGCTGAAGGCAGGTGCTCAACC